GGCACATGCCTGGGTTGCAGGCCATGGCGCACATTGATGTTTCTCTCTCTCTCTCTCTATCTCCCTCCCTTCCCTCTCTCTAAAAAAAAATAAATAAAATCTTTAAAAAATAAAAAAATAAAAGTATCACATGGTTATTTTAGCTATATGGGAAAATGCTCAAAAGTAAAATGAAGATGAAGGCAATCCAAATTATCCATATTCCGCCACTCAGTTCAGAAATAACTAATAAAATAAAAAGTTTCTGATACTACACAAACACATAATCACACACATTTGTGGTCAGTGTATAAAGGGTTTTTTTCACTACTTTTTCATTAATCGTTATATTATGCACATTTCCATATCATTTTTTAATATTCATTTATTTATTTTTAGGGAGAGAGGAAGAGAGGGAGAAAGAGAGGGAGAGGAACCTTGAGTGGGTTGCCTCTCCTACATCCCCCAACCGGGGACTGAACCTGCAACCCAGGCATGTGTCCTGACAGGGAAGAGAACCAATGACCTTTCGCTTTGTGGGATGGTGCCCATCTGAGTCACACTGGTCAGGGCTCATTAAAAATTTTCATGATCATCATTAACAATAATATACTTTCTGATGAGAAAATCAGTACATTTTATTGATAGAAAATATTGAATACTCTGGGTCAAAGAACAAAAAAAAATAACTCCTAATCCCATCACCCTCCCTCCCTCCCTTTTTAAAAATTGTTGTTTGGTCCTCCCTCCCTTTCTTCCTTCCTTCCTTCTCTCTTTTTTTTTTCCTTTTCCACCACCCTCCCTTTTTAAAGAGAAAATCCCTAGTTCAATTTCTAGTCAAGAAGCTTTTGCAGTTTTCTAGGATGCAAGTAAAGATGTTTCTGAAAGCGATGGGCAGAGGAAAGAAGGAAGTAAATATGTCAAGTTGTTAATAGATGCTAAGCAGCATGCTAAGAACTTTTGTTTCATTTAATCCTATAAGCCTCTAGAAGCAGCAGTTTCTATTTTATACCTATTTAAAAGTGAGGAAACTGAGGTCCAAACAGATACCTTGCCCAAAGTCACATGGTTTTTAATGAAAAGAACCACGATAAATCATGATCTTCTGATGTAGGTCTAGTGGTGCCAAGCTGTACTACTACTATACAAACTTCTTGATCCCTCTCCGTAGGAAAAGTCAAACTCCCATATGATTTACATCTTTAACACTATAGCATGTATTTAGGACCTCATGAGCAGTCATTCATCAAACATTTCAAAAAGCCATTCAATAAATATTTGTTGAATGGATAAGTGCTATAATGTGTATTATGCTATGCTTTTGAATGAGGTGGAGGAAACAGTTCTTTTTGGGGGGTGACATTTGTCAATCCTTGCCCGAGAACTTTTTATTTGCTTGTTTTTTAAAATTTTTTTTTTTTCAGAGAGAGGGAAAGAGGGGGAGAGAGGGAGAGAAACATCGATCAGTTGCCTCTTGCAGGCCCCCAACTGGGGCCTGGCACGCAATCCAGGCACATACCCCAGCCAATAATCAAACTGGTGACCTTTCACTTCGCAAGAGGATGCCCAACCCACAGAGCCATGCCAGTTAGGGCCCTGCTGACGAACTTACTTGTGGTAAAATCTTGATAATTCTACCTGGTCTTCAAGTCTTTGCAATCTGCCCTTCTTTTACTTAGTCAATTTTATTTCCCATCACTCCGTTTCTGTACTTTCTCCTCTTCCCAGACTAGTATTTCTATTATTGCTATACATTACATTAATTTTCAGCTTTGCACTTTCTGTTCTCCACTAATCAAGTTGTATACATCCATCAGTGCCCAACTTAAGCACCTTCATTGTTCTGCATTTCTCATCTATTCTAGGCACAGTGACAGTAACACTTGATCACCCCACAGCCCTGCTCAAAAGCTTTCAGTAATAACCTCTATTGCTGAACAAAATACAGGCTTCTTAACTGGGTACTCAAGCCAGCCATTCATTCACAAATACATACCGAGAGTTATTTACATGGTAGGCCCTCTCTAGGTACTGGGAGAACTATAGACAGCCAGACAGATGGGTCCCTGCCCTTATGGTAAACAAACTGGACATTAAATCATTACAAACAACCAATTGCCCATATTTTGCCACATATGATGCGCACCCACATTTTTGGCCCAAACTTTCAGGAAAAAAAAATCTTTTGTTTTAATTTTTCAATTCAATTATTTATGTATTTATATTTAGACACTTGTTTATTGTATTATAAAGGTATTTCAGCATTTATTTTTGAACATATTATGGTATAAGACATTTTACGTAACAAAGAATTACAAAACACAAGAACAGATACAAGGTATTTCAAGTATTACTTATGTGTAATGTACATCCTTATTATTCCTTCAAAAATTTGGGCAGAATAGTGTTCATCACACACGGCAAAATACAATAAATAATTATTAGTGCGAATCAAGTGATTACAAGGCCCTCTGCAATCTGGTTCAACCTATATTTTCCGAGTTACTTTTCATCCTTTTATTCCATCCAGATGGGCTTTCTCGCCTCTGGCTGTGCCCGCATCTTCCCTCCTTTCCTGGCTCCATCCCGCACCCCTCCAGGACCAGTTTTGGTCCTGCCTCTTCCGTGAAACCCTGCCAGACAAACATAGCCTGAAGAATCTTCCCTCATTTGAATTCCTATCACTTATCCATTGTACAAGTATTTACTGAAAGACTTCTTGAAATGTTTGATGAATGACTCCTCACTACGCCCTAAACACGTGCTACGGCATTAAAGATTTAAATGATAAGGGGACTTAGACTTTCCCTATTTAGAGGGATCAAGACATTTTTTCCATTCTCCTCTGGGTGAGGGAGAAATGAAGAGCCACAAAACTATATAGTAACACATACAAAATTACAGATAAACAAGATGACAATAAAAATTGCCCAATTACTCTTAATCCTACTACTTAAAAGAGATCTACCACTGAAAATTTTTCTCTATATCTTTCTAGTGGTTCTTTTTGTTTCTCTCTGTGTATGTCTACACCATTTTGTAAAATTCCTTTTACCTCCAAAATAAATTTTTATTAAGAAGTACTTTTCCTTATGGTCTTTTTAAAAGCACAAAAGACCTCTATCTCCATTATCTTCTTCTGTTCTTCTGGGGGTAGAAGAGTTTGTCTTAAACAAAACCTAGAGAATTGATTCAAAGACTCATCCATATCTTTCAGTTCACCAAACCTATGAGCAAGAAAAATTTAAACATTGTTTTAGGGCATCTACTCCGAGGTCCTTTCTCAAGACCTACTCTGGACACGTTTCAGGACAGCACTCAAACCTCTCTTCTTCAAGACCTCACATGTGTGGATATACAGTGCAGCCATACTCATGTGCAAACTGCAGAATGTCAGGCCTACAAGGACGCAGCAGACCTTCCAATCCACTCACTCACTCACTCGCTCTGTGGATGAGCACACTGCACTGTAACCTTAGTACTTCCCCAAGATCATGCTGCTGCTGACAGAGGAGCCAAAGACGCCAGCCCTGCTATCTCTATCTTTTCAAATCACCCCACTGTCTCCACAGTTTGTCCAAGAATTAACCCAAACTATTGATAACATTAAACAAAAAAATACTCGGTGAAGCACTAAATCTTGCTAAATAAATTGTATCTATTCTTACCACTAAAGGGGAAAGGGTAGGGCAGTTTGGCAGAGATTGGGCTAGATCCTGCAGCACTGAGTTGTTTTGAAATGCCAGAAAAGCCTTCTCATTGGAAACCTTCATGGTTATGATGGGACTAAAGCGCGGAAGAAATAGTAGGGACCACCTATCTCATTCTTTCTTAATGTTTGAGAAACGGAGGGTCACAAGAGGATGGAGAAAATGGTCAGCCCTCGCTCACGAACCGCAGCATTGTCTTGAACAGCAGTATCATCTTGTATGTATGTTCTACTTTGGTTCTTCTCCTTCACCTCCTTCTTCTTTTTTGTCTACTTTGGTTCTTAACCTGATTTCTATATAGGTCACCATGACCGGAGGTGCAGTTTACCCAGGTGAAAGAAACCCACGACTGTAAAATAGTTGTCTCTTCAGAGAGATCAAGGCGATTTCGCCATCGTTTTTCCGGCCTCAGTTTGAAGTCCCTGTAAGGTGGTGTCTCGTCTTTCTGAATTCTAAAAATCATTGTATTGGAATCTCTTCTTACAGGCACCCAGGAAAGGGAGGGCTGTGTGCCCTCTTCATAAAGGCGAGAACTGTGGTTTTAAGAGCTTCTAAAGAACATTCCAATGGGCCTTAAACTAGGAAATGAAAGGTTAAGGAGATGGGGTGGAAGGATGTAACTCAGTCCGGTGGGAGCTGAAGCTGATTCACCTGGGTGGACTAGGGCAAAGACAGATCCAAGAGGGAAGAATCCAACTGCAAGAGAGGGAGGTGGAAAACAAGCTCTCCCATGGGGTGCAGCTCAGCTCCCTTCTCTTTTGCTCACGTTCAAAAACTCAATGTAGGATGAAAAACACCGGTGCCGCCTAACAGCCCGTATCTGTCCACCGCAAACAAAGGGAAGAAGATTCTTCAGCCTTTTTGGAATGAATGAAGTCTTGGCTTTACCTTTTAGGATCCACCCATCCCTCCCATGCACCCAATGAGGCTGCAGCCTCTTCCAGCGAGGTGTTGAACTCTCCCAGGAAATGGACAGGTACATCGGGCCAATGGTTGGAGCTGCAGCTGTCCAATGGGAGAGAGAACTGCATGCCCTGGGATTTGAGAATGAGGGGGCCCGCAAAAGAGGGCGGAACGAGGGGGGCGGCCTACGTAGGCGCAGGGGGTGGAGAAGGGTGGGCCGGGTGGCTAGAGTGCGTGCTCCAACCACCGCGGGAGGGGCGGGGGGGGGAACCTTCGGACTGGTCGGCGGGCGGCCAACGGGAAGGCGGGTTGGAGCAGGGGCGGGTCCGGGTTCTGGGAAGCTCCGCCCTTGGGTTCCGCAGGGCTGAGGCGGAGCCAGGCCCGCGTCAGGTGGTCCTGGGCGGGTGGCCGGCTCTGGGGGCGGGGCGCGGCGCGGAGAGGGGAGCGGCCGCTGGCAGGCGGCGGGCACCAGCTGCGGGAGCAGGTAGTCTACGCGGAGGTGGGCAGGTGGCCCCCAGCGGGTGAGCGCGCAGGCCGGGGCTCCGACCCGCTGCTCCCCGATGCTGCGGTGAGCACACGCGCTGGTTGCACTTGCCGCGCTAGCCCCAGGCAGCCCACTCTCTCCGAGCAGCCATCCCGGGCCCTACCTGCGGCCGCCGTCGGGGGAGGGGGTCCCCCCAGCTCTGCGGAGCCGCATGAACAATAGGCGGCGGCGGCTCCTGCGGGCGGCGGCAGCCCCGCACCCTATGGATCGGCCGCTCCATGGAGCCCTCCAGAGCGCTTCTCGGCTGCCTGGCAAGCGCCGCCGCTGCCGCCCCGCCGGGGGAGGATGGAGCGGGGGCCGGGGCCGAGGAGGAGGAGGAAGAGGAGGAGGAAGCTACGGTGGCCCCCCGGGAGCTGGGCTCCGACGCGCCGCTGCCCTACTGGACCGCCGTGTTCGAGTACGAGGCGGCGGGCGAGGACGAACTGACCCTGCGGTTGGGCGACGTGGTGGAGGTGCTGTCCAAGGACTCGCAGGTGTCCGGCGACGAAGGCTGGTGGACGGGGCAGCTGAACCAGCGGGTGGGCATCTTCCCCAGCAACTATGTGACCCCGCGCAGCGCCTTCTCCAGCCGCTGCCAGCCCGGCGGCGAGGACCCCAGTTGCTACCCGCCCATTCAGTGTAAGGCGAAGGCGGGGCCCGGGACCCCGGCGGGGAGGAGGGAATGATTGAGGCCTGGGGGTGGGCGCAAAGAGATGGGAGCCTTCCTCAAGGGTTAGGTTGAGAGTGGAGAATGGTTCACCTGGGGGGTAGGTATGTGAGCGCGTGCGCTGGGGCCACAGGGGCTTTGGTGGGTGCTATGGGTAACAGAGGCGCCGCAGGCCTCGCCTGCAACCTCAAGCCCTTGGGCTTCTTAACCTTGATATGACCACCTCGGCAGCAACTGCTGATTCCACTTCCTGAAGCTCCAGCATGAGAATCTCCCCATTTCGCATCCCCCCGCCCACCCCCCCTCCCCACCCCGGCCCCGAAAAAAATCTGGAAGGATTTCAGGCTAGCTGGTAGTTTCTGTTGTAACCTTAGTCCCCAAGTCTGGGACCTCCCGGCCTCTTCTGTCGGCTGTCCCCGCCTCTTAAAGGCATTTGCTTTGAAGGAGATGGGGGTTGTCTCCCGCTGGGCTGGGTTGGCTCACAAGTCCCGGAAGCCTGTGTGAACTCAGGGCCGAAGTGTCTTTGAAATGTCGTGTGGATTTCTTGGATCCTAATCTTGTAACTCAGAAGTTGTACCTTCAGGAGTCTCACTGAATAATGTGCTAAAAAGGGTGTGTGTTGTGTGGAGGGGCAGGTGATGGGAGGAGAAATGATTAGAGAGGGAAAACTGTGTCATTCTCCCACGAGAGATCTGGAGGTCAGGATACAGTGGCTAAATCCTAGTCCCTTGGCACCCAGCATGTTAAGACAACACATTTCCCTTTTTCTTCTCACCCTAGATCCTTGCCTATATTTGGTATTTGCTAAATCCCGGGGGACCCATGCCCAGAGGTCCCTTCCAGGGCCTTTCTTGCAGTGTCCTGGTTTTCACGGATTTCCCAGGAGTCCCCCGTTCCACACCCTGTAATGAAATTTCCTTTGTTTTTTTTCAAAGGAGTTAAGTTGCTATTAAAGTCCCTTAACCAGTGATGCTAAGTGGTTTTAGCAGAAGGATGTAGACATCTCGTGGTACAGTTTGTACTATTTTGTATTTGAGGGTTTCTGTAATTTCTGTTAAAAAAGTATTGTTAATACATATTTATCTTTATTCCATATTCTGTACATTTTACATCTCAGTTGATTAAGAAACCATCACCAATGTCCAGCTTCAAACATTTAGTTTTAAAATTTCATTTCTGACAGTTAACCTTCTGGCCTTGTAACTTATTTTCACCTGAACAATCGTGTTATTATCTTACAGTATTTATTAAGTACTATCACTTAATATCAAATTCCTAATCGCTTACCCTGTTTTTCTACTCTTTTTTTATCAGCATTTTGACTGTCAAATTGATGTTCAAATTTTTAATTCTTTTCTTTTCTCTCTCCCTCTCATCCAGTTAAAAACTTTGTTTCTACATTTGGTAGTGCGTGGAGGCAACAGATCACTTTAAGTTGTTTCTGGGCGTTATATCCTTTCGGCACTAGTACCGGGAAGATGAAGACCAAGGGTCCCAGCATAATGTCTGAAATAGTGTTGAAGATGAACTTGGTCACCCATTGGAAGAAATGCTGGAAGGATGGCCTGGTGTGTTAGAAAACAGTGTAGTTTTAAACACAAGTCTGATTTTCAGGCGCTTTGTGAGCAAAGTTTGTGATTTCTTTTTGTTTTTCAGGAACAGCTAATGTCAGAGCAGAAGGCTGTGTGAGGCTCATGAGCAGGCATCAGTTCCCTTCCTGTCTGGGGCTCCCTGCTGTCAGAGCAGTCAGGAGTGAATACCATGTAGGCTGCAAGAACCCAGCCACAGAAAGCCAGACACGTCCAGTGTGCTACATTAGACGCTCCTCCTCCTTTAGGTGCCCAGGACTTAATCTTTGTGCCCAGGAACAAAAGTTACCTTTTGTAGATTCCTATACCTAGAACAGAGATGGTGAGAAAGTAGGAAGTACCTTGTGCTTATTGAAAGAACTGACTTGATGAACATACGGCTTTTGAAGGTTCTGAGAAGTTATTTAGCGTCACCAGGAGCTCTGATCTTGACTGGAATGAATTCTTGATAATTCAGAAAATGTAGTTCCAGTCAAAAACCAATCAGAGGGCCTAGTGAAAAGTGGAGACTGTTAATTACCCAGGGATAAAGAAATGAAAAGGTACGGAGGTGGTTATAAGTTACACATGAGGGAGGTTGGTGGTGTGAATATATACTTTCAGTGCAGCGCTTTGATAAAGATGAACGCTGGAAGTTGCTGACTGGTGTGTTTCTGATCTGTGTGCTGTGTCCGCCAGTTCGGTTAGTGTCACCGAGAAATTAAAGGTGATCGACAACCTTTCTCCAAAGATTTGGAATGAAAATGAGCCACTGGTAGCTTTTCCCCAGTTACCCTTTTGAACTTCCCCTCTGGGGCGTGAATAGTGATCTTAGATTGTGAACAGAAAACATTGAGTAATAATGTTCTGTTTTAGTTTTAAATACTGCTTTCAAAGTGAAAATTTTGTTTCACACTTTATTCAAAACGGAAGAGGAGGAAATGATTAAATCTTATGACAAAGAACAATAGTGATATTATAAATCAGCTGACATTAATATTATGCTTTTATCCCCTCCAAAGTAGGTATTAGAGTATAGCTCTCCATGAAGCTGGCAAATAAAAATAGCCCACGAGGTGCCCTGGCTCATGGGGTTCAGTTGTTAGGCGTCATCCTGCAAACCAAAAGGCTGCTGGTTCGATTCCCTGTCAGGACACATGTCTGGGTTGTGGGCCAGGACCCTGACTGGGGGTGAGCAAGAGGCAACTGATGGGTGTTTCTCTCACATATTGATGTTTCTCTCCTCCTTCCCTTCCTCTCTCTCTAGAAATAAATAAAATCATTTTTAAAAATAGCCTAGGAGCTCCCTCATCTTCCTTATTTTAGAAAAAGATAAAAAATATAATTCCAAATTTATCATCTTGGGAGATACATGCATAGTTTTAAAAGTTTCTCCTGTAGGAGAGTTGTATCTATTTTCAAGCAGAGCATGTGTTAAGGTTAACACAAATTTACTTTTTTTCTTGCACCCACTAGAAATATAAGGGTGCGTTTTCAGATGTACTTAAGATTTTTAAATGAATAAGATATGTACCACTTGCTAAAACCCACCAGAATATGCCTATACATTTCCAAGGATACTATTGAGAGGGAATAACATCCTGACTCCGAAAATGAAAGAAATAAGATTTTGTTCCGGATATTCCTGGAAATGTCCTTCCATAGAAACTGAGAAATCTGATGAATGCAACTTGACCTGATTCTTACTGAAAACCAGGTCTTGACTGGAGCAGGGAAGGGAAGGAGGGCCCCACATCCTGTCAGGTGCAGCTGAAGGTCTAGTTTGCACTCCAAGGGACTTCTTAGCAGGGAAGGGAAAAGAAAGAGCCGACCTTCCTTGCCCACATCCCCCTCTGTTCTGTGTTCTATCTGCTTGTAAGCTGTGTTGCACACTTTTCTTGAAGTCTGGTCATAATATTTTCTTAACTAAATAGCAAAAACCTGAGCATTTATGTTCTACCCAGAGCAAGACTATTGCTTCGCCTTCCCCACAGACGTTTTCCATCTTCTGCAAAATGCCGCCAGAGGAGCTGTCCTTTCAGCACCCTAGTTCAGAATCCCATCTTTGAAATCCTTATACATATAAATAAATATTTAATACCTCCTGTGTGTTCACAACTATGCTTGAGACCAAAGGGAAGAAGGCAGGGCATGAGAGAAAATACAACAGTTCATTCCCTTAAGAAGAATTCAGATACTTAGTTAAAGAAATAAGATGTATAAAAATTTTTAGAAAAAATGAATATTCCTTCCCTCCATGACCTAAGAGACTCCTAATGTAATGTATATTTCTTCAAGAGGGTTTCTAATCTCTCTTTAGTATAGGCATAGTTTTTTCTCATTCATATAGTTGCAATAAGGCAAATATCAGTAGTGTCGGATTTCATTTTAGGACCTAGAAACACTCAAGCTCTTTTAGCAGAAAGTGCTGGAGCTCAGGAAATTAGGAGTTTACAGAATTATTGGAAGGGTAGGAAGAAGGGAGGATCAGGTGGGTAAAACTCCCAGAACCTTGCAGACCTGGCTCACCGGGCAAGCTTCTACTTCTCTCATTGGGAAGGTACAGATCAGGAGTTGCCATTAAAGCTGTTGACTTCAAGAACACTCGGCTGTTGTTGCCGTCCAAGATGAGGCAACCGCTTGGCCTTGCAGCGTGCCTCTCCACATCGACAGAGCTAATGACTGGGCACGGGCGTGCTGCTGCGGAAAAACCCCACTTCCCCACAGCCATGCTTGCCAGGAGAAGCAGCAAGAAGATGGTCTCCATCTCAGTTCTGCCTTATAATCTTCTGCATCTAATTGGCAGAACCTAATCTGCATCCAGAAAGAACTCCAGCTGTCAGGGAGTCTGGGAAATGTAGTTTTCCGCTTTCTGGCATTTGTAGTCCTGAAAGGCATGCCAGAAGCATTTTCAAAAGGCTGCTGATTGCTAGTCTGCAGGACCTGCCATACCCGTATATCCTTAGGAAAAGTGCTGGATGGGGTGATATGCTTGAACACTTAGAACTTTTGGAGTCAGGATGGGCTATACTTTTTATATACCGGAAGACAGTCCAACTAACTTTTCCTAAGAGTTTTCTTCGTACAGACTGCCAGTCGCATTACAAAATACAAATGAATGTCAACCCTCGATAGGACAGAAGCACTGTAATTAAGCAAGAACGTAGTTTGGGGCACCACCAGCTGCCAAGTGGAGAATGGAATCATCATGCGGCTGGCTGTGGAAAGAAGCAGTGAGCAGTTCCTCTTTTGGTCTCGCCTAAAGTTCAGAAACATGTTTTTGTTTTCTCAGTTTTTTAGAAAGGTTTTTTTTTTTTTTTTTTGCTTTGTTTTGTATGTATGTGTGTGTGTTGCCAAAGTACATACTATTCTCTGTACTTGTTTTAGGAGGTCCAGTTTAATTTTTTCTTTCAGATCTAAGTTTGGTTTATTTCCTACTGAGGCATATAACCCTGCCTCCCCAACATCCATTTTACTTTACCTGCTGAATATTCAGCATGATGAGTATGGGGGTGAATAAGGCAGACAGAATCCACCCTTGTGGATCTCGCAATCTAGCGGCACAGCGGGCATTGAACAAGTAATTGTAACTGTGTTGAGTGTTGCCAAATAGAGACTGCTATAGAAGTGTTTGATGGGGCCTGATCTCATGTAGTTGGGGGTTAGGAAAAGGTCCTCTAGGGAAATGGACATTGAAGCTGAGACCTGAGAGATGCGCATGAGTCAGTCGGGTAAAGAGAGTGAGACTAAGAAGACAGAAAACAGGGTTTTCATGAGAAAAACATACAATCACACTTTGCTCACATGGCAGCACCATATGTAGCCCAAGGTTTATGTGCTAGTTACTGCGGATAACGCCACAGAGAGTAAGTTTATCTCACTTCCTGCCCACAGGAGTTTACCTTGTAGTGGGAAGACAGAAAAGCCACAGGAACAGACCACTTGCCATGTTTACTTGTCTGGGTAAATTGGTGATTAGACGGTGTTTTCAGAATGTTTTTGATTTGCTTTTTTTTTTTCTTCTTCTCTTTCTCAGTGTTAGAGATTGATTTTGCGGAGCTAACCCTGGAAGAGATTATTGGCATCGGGGGCTTTGGGAAAGTCTATCGTGCTTTCTGGGTAGGGGACGAGGTCGCCGTGAAAGCAGCTCGCCACGACCCCGACGAGGACATCAGCCAGACCATAGAGAACGTTCGCCAGGAGGCCAAGCTCTTCGCCATGCTGAAGCACCCCAACATCATTGCTCTTAGGGGGGTGTGTCTGAAGGAACCCAACCTCTGCTTGGTCATGGAGTTTGCTCGTGGAGGACCTTTGAATAGAGTGTTATCTGGGAAGAGGATCCCCCCAGACATCCTGGTGAACTGGGCTGTGCAGATTGCCAGAGGCATGAACTACTTACATGATGAGGCGATTGTCCCCATCATCCACCGCGACCTTAAGTCCAGCAACAGTGAGTATGGAGGGAGGGGGCTGGGGGGCTTCAGGGCACATTCCGACTCAGGCTGTGGTTTCAGCTGGAGTGGATTCCTAAAGGAATCTTAGTGGACAGTGAAACTCCTTGCTTAAAACCAATCCATCCTTGAGCTGAGATGTGGGGCTGGAGTGAGTGCCGGGAAAATTGGTTTAGGGAGAGAAGAACCAGACGCCTGAGGGGTTGGGGTAATTCTGAGCTCACATTAGCAGGCAGGTTCGGCAGTGTGTACTTCTGATGTGGTGTGCAAAAACACCGCACGACAGCATAGCTTTATTTTTCCCCTTCAGGGAGGTGTGTCTGTAATCACAAAAGGGGTTTTCCTCTTTCATGGAACATCAGGTGAAGCACACCTGTGCCACCTGTTTGCGTTTCTGTCCAAACACCCAACCCGAGGTGCCCACCAGAGAAGGGGCACTAGGGAAGAGGAGGCGTGTAGTTTAAGCTGCAAGGCCGAGTCAGGTGGCAGTGTCTGACTTGGAGAGCATGACCTGGCTGGTAGTATTACAGACTTCCTGATAGCCTAGGGGTAGTATTAATTAATTGTCATAATTACCCAGAGTTTAATAGCAGGGCACGGAGAAGGAACTGTTTATTAAACATCCATAATCCATCAAATGGGTTGTAAAGCGAGTGTTAGACATAATTAAGTGGTGAGTTGGTAGACACTTCCGTCTCTTTCCTTGGCTGAATCAGCAGGAACTGGAAATAGGCTTCTTTCGTGCAGCCATTTGTGTTTTCTCCTCATTATGCTGTGTGGTAAATGGTATATACTGAGAGCACCCTGTGCGGGGGTGTTAGGGGGGTGTTAGGACTGTGGGGGTTGCGTGGGCCCGGGAACTTCACTGTCTGTACCCCTTCAGCTTTGAACCCAGAAATCCTTCAGGCTTCGTTTTATTCTGGGCTATTCCAGGCTAAAGTCTTACTTTTCTGCTGATGCTAATGTGAATCTGTTTAAGGAAATGAGTTTAAAATTATGTAAGTAGTAAGTGTTTTTGTTGTACGAAAATTAGAAAGTGTAGATGAACAGAAAGGAAAGAAAAATAACCTGGAAGGTTTTCCCTCAGAGAGTACAATTTACATTTGGCATTTTTAGAGCATATATGGTTTTTAGGTATATAGATATACTTTCCAATTTAGTTTAAGTGGCTTTTGTTACCCTTGCCTCTTCCACCTGCACCCTCTTCCCCTTTAATTCATTCTTGAGAGAATACGGAACGTTAGGTGTGTATTTTAGATGTAATGCATGTGAAGGATTTAAGTTCCATAAAATAAAACCTGGTTTCTCTTTTCCTTCCATCGTTATTCTCTTTACCCTAGGATTACTCTCACATGGTTAAATGTATTAGGTAGATTAAAACTTTGGTGACCCCTTTTCAAAGTAATTTCTACCTAGAGATTGCTTTGGATGATGGGGTAATAATAAGATGTATTGTTACAAAAATGATATGGAAGCTGAATTGTCTTTATTTTCTTTTGTCTTACATCCTTATCATGCTGGGAGAACTGAGTCAAGTGCTTTAACCTTGTATATCGAGCCCCTAGAGACTTGGGCTAGGATGATGGAATTGTCATGGAGGAAACTTAATAATTTCCTCCATGAAGTTTTAAATTTAGGTGTAATTTCAAGCTATGAATACAAGGTTTTCCCTTTTATGAGATTTGTGTTTGAAAGCCTAAGCTCCTCTGAAGGAAACGCTAACTTGTCAAGGTTCTGCTGTCAGCAGGAGATGGCAAGAAATCTGAACGTCATTTTGTCACCCAGGAAACAAAGCCCTGATCCTTTCCGCATCCTTAAGTGAGTTTCAGGATTGCCAAGGGGGAAGCTTCAGGTGTGCCTTGTGGCGGGTGTTGGACTTACACATAGAGCGGTATTTTAAAGGACCTCATCAAGATCATTGATGTCCAGCAGCGTGTTGGAGCCACTGGGCAGCATGGTCAGTGTTGCTGGTGATGCCAGCTGTGAGTCTCACCCCGGGGGGGTGGGGGCCTCCTTGGCAGTTGTCTGTGGGTGGCTGTTCGCCTGGGATTGTATACAGCACGGCCAGTGTGAGCCTGGATGGCGCTGTTATGCTTATTTCATGGCTGCATGTACATGGCTTAGAAGTCATTTCAAAGATGTTATGGCTCTTTGTTGCCTCCAGTTGGAGAGTCATAACTTCGTTGTGCTTTGCAGACCTGGGGATACGGTCCTGTCTCCCTCAGTTTTGTTAGGGGGCTCCAGGGAGTTGGATTTTGGTCAGTATCATGTGAGGGCAGAATTCTGTGAATTACATGTATTAGCCGATTTTGAACCCCAAGAAAAGAGTATGTATATATGGGGGATGACTTTGTTGGAAAAAAAGTAGTCAGTGATAAACATCTAGCAGTTACAAAAGGTTCAATAAAAAAGCAATATTTTAAAAGATTTTATTTATTTATTTTTAGAGAGGGAAAGGAGGGAGAAAGAGAGAGACATCAATGTGCAGTTGCTGGGGGCCATGGCTTGCAACCCAGGCATGTGCCCTGACTGGGAATTGAACCTGTGATGCTTTGGTTCGCAGCCTGCACTCAATCCACTGAGCTACACCAGCCAGGGCAGTAAAAAAGCAATTTATTAAAATATTTTATCATCCTGGTCACCTACTTTAAAAAAGTTATATGTTGTTTAGTGGCAGTGAAATCTGTATAGCATATGGCATCCTATGTTGATATATAATCTGCAGTGTTTAGGTTTGACTGTACATAACCTAAAAAAAACCCCAAAATAACACTAGTGAAAACAAGGTACATGTTCATTTGTCTTTGAAAAGAAGTCTGGAGGTTTCGGGGCATCTCCACAGTGTTGTCAGGGACCCAGGTCCCTATTTTGCACTTTGTCATCCCAATCCATTGCTCGTATCCTTGGGGGTCACCTTACAGTCCAAGATGCTATTCTTTGGTCTAAGTCACGGGCCTGGAGGAAGAGGCGAGCAGACCTCAGAGGTGCTCCTGTAGCCGAGTTCTCTCCCACTAACTTCCCAGAAGTTCAGCACAGCACAGCTGCCTACATCGATTGGTCCGAATGTAATTGATCACATAGCTGTAGCTAGTGCAGAAGAGGCCTGGGAGATGGGGATTTTGTTCTGGGGGCAGTGGGTGCAGCTGATAATCAGGTCTGTTACCAAGAAAGGGGGAGAGAGTGGCTGGTGGGGAAGCAGCGTACCATGGAACCTCAGTGCAGGGCACGCATTGGGAAGAACCGTTGTGTTGGATACTTCGCCTCAGACAGCCAAACAAGGTGAGCCAGGCCCCGGGATGTGTGGCTCAGACCGGTGATCTAGCTAATGGTTTATACCGCTTTACCACGTTGCATCATTAACTTAAACATCACTTCTTGAAATGACCTGTTAAAGCGCTGGCTATAAAAATGGATTTATGTGTCCTTGCTCCATCAGACTGGGGAAAACCAGCTGCTTGGTTGTTAGCAACAGTATTAGTGAAAGATAGTCTCTTAGAGGAAAGACTTCCTTTATGGGGGTAGGTGGATGGATTTCAGGGTTTTGACTTACAGACATTTGGCAGAAGAGCAGTTGAAGAGTGGCCATTAAAAGTTACATTAGTGTAAAAACGAGATCATATGAAAAAGCTTTGGAAAATGGAAAGGCCTGCCCAAAGTGAAAGTAGTGTTATACTTTTATTTTATCATTAAATAACTTTTTTCCTCCTCTTAGGAAACAAAAAAACATAGAGGTGAAAGAGTGTGTTTTTTTCAGTTTTTGCATTTGTGCATATTTGTTTTCACTCCCAAATCATGCACCAGAAAGCTTGTTTAAAAGATTTTATTTATTTATTTTTAGAGTGAGGGGAAGGGAGGGAGAAAGAGAGGGAGAGAAACATGGATCTGTTGCCTCTAGTATGCGCCCGACTGTGGACCAAACCCACAACTTAGGCATGTCCTCCATTCAACTGGGAATCGAACGGAGACCTTCCGGCTTGCCGGACAACACCCAACCAACAGCCACGCCACTCAGGGCCTGCATAGGAAGTCTTAGTAAACATTGCTCATAGCATGCTTTCCCCTCTCCCACTTGTCAGTGTATTGTCGCCACTTTCTTATATAAGTAAATAATCTTTCACATTTACAGGTTGCCCAGTATTCCACTATTTAGATACAGTATTTTGTATCAACAAAGTTAAATCCCTATATAATAATAATAATATTAACAACAACAGCTAATGCATATTGAGTGCCCTCTCTGGGTCAGGCACTGTCTGAGCATTTTATGTGGATTCTCGTTTAATTCTCACAGCAAACGTACAGAGTAAAGACTGTGAGTGTCTTTACAGATGAGGAAAGTGAGGCTGAGAAGAGGTCAGCCATTTCTCTAGGCTGTCACTGCCAGTCCTACCACCAGACTTTGAGCCCAAGTCTGACTCCTCCGCTCGTGTTCCTAATCACCACGCCGTTGTGGGCACACTGCTCTTGGGCAGCTGGGGTGTTCCACTGCGTTATCCCATGCGGCCCTTCAGTACTTCAGTTTTACATACTTAGAGGTGATATTACTCTGCTCATAGAGCCAAACACCCACATTTCATTACTGTATGATTGCTGTGTCCTTAATTTCATGGTTGAAAGAACAGAGGTGAGCCGTGAACTGTATTTGGTTTGGGACCAGCCACACCTGCCTTCCTGTTTTTGGACGTCAGCTTAGTCTTGTCATGAGGTTTTTGTTGCCTTATTTCCCTCTTTTCCTCAAAGGTACTTTCACCTTAAGCCAGGCTGGTTCCCCTTTTCCCTGGAAAGTGTATCTCCTATACTTTCCAGCCACTAGGCTCTTATCACTCTGACCCCTGCTGTGGGAATAGCCATGCTTTCAGGATGCCTTCACCTCATCTCTCTGCCTTTTTAAGCCCTACCCATTTTTTTGTGCTCAGCTCAAAACTGGCTGCTGCTTCTTCCTGACAGCCCAACACTATCGTCAATGCTAAGTAGTTGTTTGGTGCTAAACACATATTAC